GGTTGTCCTAGGACCCCAAGATTCAGTGGTTATAACCGCGTAGAAATCTTGAGTCTATTTTCGAGTTGATAATAGAACGTTTGACCTGTAGGTTCTTAACAAATTGGGCTAATCGAAATGGCGTCGAAAAGTAGAGTGATAAGTTAAATTTATCTATCAATCAAAAAATATTAAATAAGAAATAAAAAGGCTTTCCAACTGGTAGCCAACTGTTAATTGTATCTGTTTGGGAGAAACATCTACAGTCTACATCATACAATGAACAAATATCAACCACATCTAGGGCAGAGTAGTACGGTATAAGTCTAACACCTTAAAATAGTTGAGAAGCTTTTATTATCCTTTTTGTTCTAAATGTATACAATAATTGAGAGGCTGTCATGCTCAACAACTTGATGCAATATTAGTAGTCCAATGTATTCCGTGGAAGGTACTCGCGTACACATTTAGTAGCAGGTCTTTTCACAAATATAGAACTTCTTCAACGAGCAATCGTCGTCGTTCCAACCATACCGGACTGTGTTAATGGTAGGGTGCATCCCACGCTTTAATGCCAGGCAGTGCTCATTTCTGTGGACGTTGTTAGGTTGACCCCACAGCCAATCGAAAGTGGTGATCGTTGTGCCTCCAAGATTTCCTTAAAAACAAACATGCATGTTTTAGGTTTAGGCAAGGAGTTATAACTCCTTGGTTTAGGTAATCGTAGAGGTTTAAACAGGGATAAATATCTATTTACGTTATTTAAATTGACAACAAGACTATTACAAATGAAATATTTTTTCATTTTATTTGTTTGATGGTGAAATTCAAATGTCAAGGTTTTCACAGAAATAAATAACCATTAACGATATTCATGCCGAGAAACAACTGTAACTGCAAGGTCTATATCATTTGCACATCTGATGCAATATTTAATAAGTGTAACAAGTCGTTAAATGATTATTCTGGTCAACACTCCAGCCTCGACCAGTCTATTCTACTCTCTACCAGGTTCACAAATTGATTTTTCACAAGATATTCACAAATATGTCTTAAGGTAAATAGACGGTCATTTTACTATCTCTGGCTTTTGGTTATTATCCCTATAATATCTGCCGCCCTGGTAGAAGGTAAGTCTACTCAGAAAGACTGGTATAAGTACGTTTATTTGCAAACTATTTTTGGTGGATATTATACCGTGGATGAGGTTCACGAGACGTGAATATTAAACTTTTACAAGTTGTAAGAAAAAAGGCATCAATATTGGTGAGTAAAAGATTGGGAATTGCCATTTGATTATATACTGTATAATTTTTAGAGAGATATTGTAGAAGAAAAATGTATGTGTTATGTGTATATTTATTCTTATCACTTGCAGACAGCGATGTTTGCCGCTCCGTTATTATTTTACCACCTATATTAATCTGCTCACGGTAGCCTTATGTAGGCCTACACATATGAATATATTAAGCACATGTTGACACGATTATAAGAATCTTATTATTGTCTTTTAGTCACATAGAATTCCAAAAAGACATCCTATTAAGTGTTGTAACTATTGTTTTATTGATACTGTGGTTACAACATATAAAATGTATAGTGAAGACTATTGAGAATTTGATACCGTTGTAATGTGCAGATGATTTAAGTACAGTGCTGACTTAAAAGATTTCAATATTTTCTTCTTAATTTTTCCATATTCCTGTAAATTCCTGGTGGCAATAAAACAGAACCTGTAAATAACTTGTGCCTTTGTTTCTACGTTATTATAGGCCTAACCCCTGCGCGTTTTAGTTACGATTGGAATTTAAATCTCAACACCAACTCACGTACACTCTGACCACAGGACCCGCTAGTAGTCTGTTACAATATTATTGCATCGGCCTGTACTTAAATTCTGTATACTTTTTTAGAGACCCCTGATATCAGAGAGCACAACTCACCTTTGTGAGCCCACTTCCAGAGGTAATCTCTAGCGATGTCATTACCAGCGATCCAAAAGTCCGGGTAATCTTTTACCCGATGAGTATCCGTGAAGAAGCCTTAAAATAAAATTGATGTATCTTTAAGTCCAGTCAATACCATGCATGAAAATTGCAATTGAATTGGTCATAAACTTACTTTTTATCATTTGTAATTCATACTGAATTAATTTGATTTTCAATTCATTTGAATTTCCTTTAGCCAACCCGGATATAGACCTATTTTAATATTTAAAAACATCAGTACACAATGATTTTTAGAACATCTTACTTTGGCGTTGGGTAACATAATTCTCGACCCAGTTCTCTTCAGAGGTGTCTTCAATCACAGCTAGTTTCGCTCCGATGGCTCTACAGTATTCCTGAAACGGTCATTAACACATTCAGGTGATTCGTTCAGAGGTAGGCTATAACCCACGAAAAGGTCTTTGTTCAGCTAAAGAGTTCATCCCAACTATCAGCCATCAGTCCACGTGGATCGATCCAACTCCCCGGGGACACTTGCTGAATGCAGCCTCCTGGCGTTAAGTATAGAATGCACGAAAACTGGTAATCATACGAGTATGTTGGAAACAAGAGAAGGCGAGTTTATCTCTTAAACTAACTGCATTCATCGAGAGTCTTCGCGGAGTTGGATCAATCACGTGTCAATGGAAATGAGCCCAGTGACTATTTAAGAAAACATTTGTGAGATTGAGGCAAATCAATAAGGTCGATAGCCACCACTCATTACTTTCAAACTCGTACTCCATAAAGAGAACTTTTCCATACCAATTTTTGTTCGCGTGGTATAAGACGAATGATTGAATGTCCTGGTGATATTAGAGCGGGGTTGTGATGAAATTAAACAAAAAAATGTAAAGTCCCTCTAAGAAAGTAACGAGATAATAATGTTATTACCCTTGTGAAGGAGGTTATGTATTCACCTCCGTATGTCCGTTAAAAAATCATGAAGTGCCCTTTTTATCTGGAAAAGCATTGTATAATCTCCAATACATGTTTTGACTTGCTTTAGTGATCAGATGCAAACTTTTAAAAAGTACAATTACAAAAAGGTTAAAGGACATTCAAACTTCTTAACTCACATTCGCCTCTGCCCAGCTGGCCACATCTCGTACGAACTTGTAACAAGACCAAGAATTCCTTGAAACGAAACCAGGAGGGCATTCTGCAAAGCAAGCATATAGTTAACACTGCTGAACAGAGTTTTTTTTCGTAGCAAATGTATTCCTTGTTACAGTTTGAAAATTCTTTACCCGGAAAATTGTGCACAAAACTGTACTCACTGCAAAATACCCCGACCTGTGCGAAAGCATCAGCCACATCTTGGGTATTGTGGCCAAGGTCCCATGCCGCTTGAATCACCCCACATGAGCCAGAGTTAAAGTTGCTGTTACTGACCCAGTATAGTCTGTTGGCTCTCGCAAACACTCCAAATGCAATCTTGGTGGTCCAGCCGGGTGTCGTAGCTAAGATGTAAAATGCCTTGTTATAAATGCCACTGGAGTAATGGACACCCTGACCTTGGTAATAGCGAGCACATTGGATAGAAGGAGGAGCAATAGGCGGGTGCATCATGTATCGTAACGCGTCTCCATTCTTCATGATGTCATGCCCGAGACGCCAGTCGTTATGCCCCCGGAGATAGTACTTAAACGCCTCGCCTGCTATATCTGAGAAGGCTTCGTTCATCCCACCGGACTGCCCAGCGTAAATAAGGCCTGAGGTTGCTTCCGTGTAGGCGTGGCCAAGCTCGTGGGACACCACATCGGCCACAGCCAAGGGATAAAATGTTGTAAACCCGTCGCCATATGTGGTACACATGCCATTCCAGAAAGCATTCTGGTAGTTGACGCCGTAATGGGCTCGGATACGCATGGCACCGTAGTTGGTTGGCAGTGTAAAGTCACTGAACCAGTCGCGGTACATATCGTACACAGCTTTGGTGAAGTAGAAGGAGTCATGTAAAGGAGAGTAAGCACCATTGATGGCGTCCACGATGCCCGTCGCGCACAGAGCCGTTGCCACGGGACCAGAGGCGCAGCTGCAAGCCCAACTATTACCACAGTTGGTGACCCTTGCATCGGCATTGAAGTAGAAGCAAGTTGCACTGAACTGAAACACGTCCAGCGGTCTTCCTGCCCATCGCAGTTCTCCGTACTTCCACTGTCCAGTCTTGACATTTCCACCAGGTACACCTGTCATGGAGTAGAAACCAATGGATTCCCAGTGCTTCAAAATGGTTCCATCTAAAGCGTCGATGAAGTAAAAAGGGCGAGAGGGTTCCGTTGAATTTTCGACATTATAATTAAGATACCAGGCAAGTCTGACCTTGCCACCTTCATCCATGTAGATCTGCAGTGATGCATCACGCTTGGGTTCAAAGACGATGAGAGATGTATTCTGTTGTTTTTCATTGTTAATAGCAATTTTCAGTGCTTCTTCAACGGTTAACTCTGGTATAAAGGACTCAAGATCTTGTTCGATGCCTTCAGCGATGGTGCCATAAACAAACTGCCGGAAACCCCCAGTTGCCATAACTTTTTTACTTCTCTTGTCATAGTCCTTCACTTCAACTTTTTCCAATACCACGTTTTGTCCAAAAACTGGGATGTTTTTGAATGTTTCCACATACTTGATTTTCACTGCAACTGGCCCTTTCTTTCTCCTATCGTCTGAATTCGGCACTTTCTCGCGATGTATCTCTAACAGAGCATAATCGTTGCTTGGCAGCCGTAATAGTTGTTCTGGCCACACGTCACAGGGAGGGTCGGGGCATGATTCGATAACCCTCTTCTGTAACTCTTCTCTATCCACTATTTCGATGGCGCTCACTGTCAAACCTAAAAGGACTAAACGAGAATTGGAAATCATAAGTTAAATGAACGAACATCCAATAATTACGTAAATAGATATCTTAAGGTAAGCATCAATGGCTTATAAGCCTATTCAACAGATATGTAAATTATTTAAAATTTAAAAAGTATGTTTTTCCGTTTTTTAAACATTGCATAAGTGATAGTGTGACGAAGTTATTGGCTTGTCTTCTTCATGTTACGCGAGGTAGCAAATACAACTCAGATATTATCTTTCTTATTATTTATTGAACTACTGTCCAGTTATTACCCGCGCCGCTTCCTTCATTTCTATTCCTACCTCATGCAATCTCTAGCGGCCTTCTCTTCGTTTACACTAAGCGCAGTTGTATAAATACCATAAGAGCATGTCAATCAACTTAAGTTACTCTACTAAACACTCCCCGCTCTTATTCACTGCATGCTGTCACTTACTAACGTTACAATAGATACAATACGAGTCCAGCTAGCCGTGGTTTAAATTCTTTTGTTGCCGTATTCTGACCAAATCTAACTTACCAAACAGCACGGAAATCTCCAAACCTCTAAACATTGTGATAGAGCCGACTTCACACGCAAATGTCAATGGTCAAGACTCTCTTGAAAATTAAATGAAATAATTACATAAGTTTGTCATTGATGCATGTAACTTAAAGTCGTTACTAGAGGATAATGCATTGACTTCCGTTACTTGCTCATGCTTAACACGTTATTGTTATAGTTTTTAGCGTTCACTTACATATAGTCTGTCGTAGTTTGGTGTCTTCACCTCCAACGATGATGGAGTAACTTAAAGGCGGACCGTTGCTCCTTTTTATACTTGTCAATGAAGAAGTGTTATTATAATTGAAAAATTCCTTACGAAGAAAAGGTGTGACAAAATCTGATAATTATTGTCATATTTGATTGATATCTTTCCTTAAGAATGATACACAAGGAACTTATATTGACTAACCAATGAATTTCTTGTGAAGAAAATAAGTTCCTTATCTATCGGGGTGTTTGACAATAGCGTTGCGGACCATGACAATAATCAAAGACCACAAAGAAGTCCCATAAAAGATCTTTTCAAGACGGATGCGAAACGTTTTATAATTTTTTTCATCGACGTTGCGTTATTTTGTTTACATGGCATATGTAAACGGCTGCCAAATTAATATTTTTTTCTTTTTAGAGGAACCTACATCTGAGTAAGCGCACAATAGAGAGCATATCTATATGCGAGTGCGCACAGAATGAACTCTGTATACTAGCGATTGGTTGATAAAGCTAAATATACATGTTGCGGGCTGCAGGTCATTGTGACATTTTATTGGATTAATATGTCATCTTTACAATTGTTTTATTTTCAATGAATTTCTTGTGAAGAAAATAATTTCCCTATCTATCCGGGTGTTTGACAATAGCGTTGCGGACCATGACAATAATCAAAGACCACAAAGAAGCCCCATATTAGATTTTTTCAAGACGGATGCGAAACGTTGTATAATTTTTTTTATCGACGTTGCTTTATTTTGTTTACATGGCATAGGCCTATATAAACGGCTGCCAAATTAATATTTTTTTTTCTTTTTAGATGAACTTACATTTGAGTAAACGCACAAACGAGAGCATGTCTATATACATGCGAGTGCGCACGGAATGAACTCTATCTGTATACTATCGATTGGTTGATAAAGCTAAATATACAAGTTGCGGGCTTTAGGTCATTGTGACATTTAGTTGGATTAGTAGGTCGTCATTACAATTGTTTTTAGTGTAACCATATGCACTTCTTATGTTGTTATTATCCTACATTTTACTTATAAACTAATTGTTACTTTAGCAATACTTTATTTGCCTCCAACAAATCAACGTCAGGAATGCGTTATAGGCTGCAACTAAAATTAAAAAGTGTGTTTTTTTGTTTACATGCTTATGACCGCTTCAATTCGCAATTCTGTCATCAGAATACTAAAACAGTTATACACCCTCGATTGCCAGTTAGATAGGATCAGTTGAACATTAATTCAACAACGGTTTTGGTTCTCCAAACACCTCTGGTCTTTTTGCGCGGTTTCATACGCTGTTGTATTTTATCTTAAAGGATTATCTGGATAAACAGCAGAAACAAGTGCAACAATAAACGTGAAAAACGTTTTTGCGGAAGACACTTACTGTGCCCACTGATGCTTATATTTCTCTGCAATGTTATCTTCATTTTTCATCTTAATCGAGTGGTGGAGAGGAAGTAAAAATTAAAAGCAAATTCTCTGCAAACCAATAAATGTCAAGAGCAAATGTCCACCAATTTTAAGTTTGCCTGTGTTCAAATATAGTGATACACGCAGTTTCTTTTGCTAATAAATTAGTTAAGTCGATAGACCCATCCAATAGATGGGACGTACGGTTTCCTACCAAACAGAGATACTCTCCAATTTTAAGAGAGAATTCAAAAGACAGCTGGAAGATCGTGGCTGCCTCCCTATGTATAGTTTGTGTGAGGTAATAGAAAGACTGAAAGTTCTTCGCGTGCTGCGTTTTCTGCGTGTACGATTGCGAAAAAAGCCCGGATACAATAATATTTCGTCACAGGATGGTCATGACCTAGGTTTAATTCATAATTATGTAAGGCTAAATGTGCTTGCTGCTATCAACTCTTGTTCCACACTAGGAATGGATTTATTAATTTTTTATCTCTGAATATTCAGCTTTCCAATTGTAGTAGTATTGCGACACTGGAAAAAAAAACAAATGGAGGGAAGACAAAACTAAATGTCTTAAAACTTCACCATTGAACATGTGCGCCCTCTTTTTATGTGCTTGACCCTTGTTAAGTGTGCCTTATTATCATACAGATAAATGGTTCATTTTTCCATTTCATTTACAGTATAAAACATAAATTCGAATGACGATAAATAAGGAGTGCCTTTAGCTGTTGGTGAAAAAAATCAATAAGAATGTTCATGACAGTCAGTGTGCCTATAGTTAGAATGAACAAGGTCATAGGTGATTAAAAGGTTGTAGAGATCATTTTCCATATTATTATTATTATATTATAATATTTTTAAAAGGGGGAGTATAACAGTAGAATGGTGTCTTCAGTAAAAAAAGGTTTCATGAGAGCATAGAGCAGAATTTTGGGGAACAAATTCAAAACTTATGGCACGTGTGCAATCCCTTTATCTTCACGAGATGTTGCGTCCCCCGCCCAATCATCACCTGTGTTTTCGTCAGCGTATCGGACGATGTTGCGATTGGGAAGGGCAGGCATGGCCCTGGCGAGATGCACATCAAAAATTACTACCCGATCTCCCAGATGTGTAACATTAAGGTTAGACAGTGCGTTCTTGCAACGGGTAAATGCATTGGGAAATAGTCATCGTATTGAGATGAGATTTTTTTCAGGGCTGCTGCATCTCTACTTCTATGATTTAATCAAGATGTAGACTGTGCAGCTCAATAAAAGGCCGATTACATTCACAAATTTGGACGTTAATCGGTTTAAATCAGAAATGGGCAAGTGATTTCCCTTAAAAAGTGAACATGAGTTTAGCTGCCACTAAAAAAAGAGAATATACAGGCCCCTTGAACGAGAATTTGTTGAATTAGGATTATACCATGTTTTCGGTCCGCCTACAGGTCCAAGTTTTCGACATAACCGATTACTATTTTGAGGCATTGAGATATTGGAAGATATAATATGTCACAGCTTAGTGTTGACATTGAAGATATAGAGGTAACATTCGAAATGACCCATTAACAAGTCTGATGTATTTTCAGAAACTTCGTGGTGATGGTAGTAGTGTCAGAGCTAAAAATAATGTGTCGTCTGCTTGACCTGAAGGTGAACAAAAATCGGTATAGACCTAATAATTAGGTAGGCCTACATCCCTCGTCCTTCATACGCACTTGTCTGACCTTTAAAATTGATATTGATATCCTATTGATATCCGTTATGTAAGGTGATTCTATAAAAAAAGGATCGTATGCGCAACTATATAACTTAAGGATTAAGTTGCATTTCATGGTGTCCATAGGCTAAAGCTATTAGTACCGGTAATGTAACCATATCCCCTTACACACACGATATTTTTATTTTAATAAACTTCGATTTTTTTTTTCGTTATTGACACTCGATCAGATTCAATAGGATAACGCTGCGTCGCACTTGCAGTAAGTCTGTCATCAGCCCACCCACCTCCCTTCCCCCATCCCGCTGCATAGGCAGGACTACTGCACTGCCTTCTCTACCTCGGTATGCGATTCGTATTCATTGTTGAATGCCCTTTTCAGGTCACCTAAATATGTCCTCCTTACACTGATACCTAGAAACCTTACACTACATAGGCGAGACACCTACATATCTATCTATTACTCAGATATCTCATACTTAAGGTAACTACTTGGCAAGAAGCCTAAAATACACCAGAAGCTGTTTTTAACTCGTCCTAGCTACTAGTAGACTTGCAAGGGGGTATCAAAGACAAGTCCTCAGAGACCCAGCTCTGAATCTTGTTACTTTGATAAAGTGGATTTTAACCAAAGACATGAGCCGACCTCCCCCTCACACTATTTTTTTGCAAACGACCATTTCCTGTGTTTACTTATAACCAGTTTTGTTTTTTCTTGTGTATTGCGCTGTGTTATGTCGTATTGTGCATTTTAGGATGATCTGTCTTGGGACCTCGATCAACCCCCATTGCCATGGTAATGCAGTTATAAGATATTGGTATTGAGGTCAAAAATGTCATTTGTCTAAAGAGCATACAAAATCATTTGGTGTCAAGGAGTATTTTATATAGATATTTAAAATTGAAAGGTCTGTATATATGTAAGAGTAATAGGTTACTAGTAGCTTACATAGATGTACTACATGCAGTACTTAACATAAATATACATCTTAAAGTGATATAGGTACAGTTACACAAACAAACTGTAAATTAATAAAGAAAAAAACATTTTTGTTATACTTCTTGTTAAATTCTAGGCCTCTGATTGGTCAGGTACATATACTGCTATTCACAAGTATATCATTTCCTGTTACTGTTTCATATTGTGTGACAATGCAGAGTGCAAATAAACATGTTATAAACAAACATGCTGGCAAGTAAGCTGGTTTAATGTCCTGCATGCACTGAAATCTCAACAAGTTCATTTATTTATGAAATGACGATATGTAGCAGACAATAAAACATGTATAGTCACATATTTATAACAATACTCAGTATATAATTAGGATTGTATTTTAATTGCATGTACCCAGTAATTAAGGCACTGCAACATCATTTAAAGGCTTCTTAAATGTTGCAGGGACAATGGCACACCCTTGTTCAAATGTTTATTGTATAAAATTCATATAAATTGATAATAAAGATTTTCTTAAGGAATTTATCTAATCTCCAGAACCTGCTTGCTCTGAACCCCAGGGTGAGTAAGCATGCCAGCCTCAAGTCTTCCTCTGCCACCAAGAAAACCAAGCAGCACTGGAAAAGGAACCAAGAGAAGGGCTGCTCAGTAAGAAAGATCAGATGACCATTTGTTAATCAGTTTATATCTCTAACAAGGGTTGATTGCTAAAAATGTTAATTAATTGAAAAAAAAGCATGTGGGTTTTTATTGCCACCCTTTGCTGATGAATACAGGTTGAGTTTGAAAACCAGCTTGATCAGATTATTTTCCAAAAAGTTTTATTTTGTTTGAGCATAATAATCATGTTATGCTATATGCAATACAGGTAACAGATTTTGAGGAAAACCTATAGGAGTATTATCCTCAAACTTACTGGAGTGATCAATATTACTGAAATGCAGATTGAGCTCAAAAAACAGTCTGATCAGATTATTTTTGCAAAAGATATTCTGTTTTTAGTTTTTTACTATATTAAATACTATATATACAATGCAGATAGTACATTTTGATGAAAACTGCTTGGACTATTGACTTCAACCTTAAAGGAGTGATCAATTTTACTCAAATACAGGTTGGGTCAGTCAGATTGGGTTATTTTTGGAAAAGTTATTCTGTATTTAGATTTTTAGCATATTTTAAGCTTAATGCAATGTCAATAGCACATTTTGAGGGAAGATAACGGGCCTATTGTCTTCAAACTTATAGCATTTTGAAGCTTTATGATGTCTGGTAGGTGTGTTTGGTCAGTTGAAGTCATCGATCGGTTGGTGCTGCCAAGTGGTTTTGTCAACATTTTGAATAATGAATTAAAAAAACTCCAGACTTCCCTCTCCTGCCCCTGGGGAGGTTTTTGAAGCTAGCATAAATAACTATGAGATGAAATTTGGGGATTTAGATGTTTATTGTGAATAATAGGTATGGTAGATTGATTTTGATCACATTTTACACAAATCTGAAAATTGTTAATTTTAACTGAATTTTGTAGGGTGGATATGGCAGTTTAAAAAAGGTTTGGGGAACAATATTGTTATTTTAGATCTTTATGATGTCTGTTAGGAGTGTTTGGTTATTTTTGATTATCAGTAGGTGTGGTAAAATGGTTTGGTCAACATTTTGGGTGAATTGAAAAAATCTCCACCGCCCCTTTTATGAGGCAGAGATTTTTGAAGTAGAATAAAGATGGAACTAAGGGCTTTAATGATGAAATGTAGGTGTGTTTAGACATTTATTGTGAATGATACCTGTCAGGCCCGTAGCCAGCAATTTCAAAAGGGGGGTTCTTTTTCTGAAAAAGTGGACCTTTTCCCATAAAAACTTCATGTACCTAGATCAAATTTTACCCGGAGTGGACCTTTTCCCAGCAAAAGGGGCGGTTCTTTCGAACCCCCCAAACCCCCCTGGCTACGGGCCTGCCCAGAGAGATTTTTGAATAACTATTAAATGAAATGTACAGTAGATGTGTTTAGACATATATTATGAGTAATCACTATTGTAGATTTTGATTATATTTTACATAAATATGAAAATTGTCAATTTGGGCTTATTATGTAAGTTTAGCATAGCACAGTGTAGCATTGAATAATTGGTGGTGACTATGCTGTTAATCATTACATAATATTGAATTAAAATTGATTTTGTGTACTAGTATCATTACTGCATAGTCATTATGTTGTACAATTTCATTTTGAATTTGCTTCTTCATCATTTTCAATCTATTTCCTTGGCAATGCTTCCATTACTTTTGTAAATTATCTTCCTGTTCATGTAAAGCATAGAACTTTATATGGAAATTTCAATTTTTTCTAGACATGCCCTTCTCTGGAAAATAACTTTGATGATATCAAGCATACAACCTTGAGTGAAAGAGGTGCTTTGAGGGAAGCAGCCAGGTATGTTTTGTTTTTAAAGTCATAATAACTCTTCATTTTGGCCAAAAATTGGATTTTCCTGGAGTAAACGGCAATTTTCCCGTACTTACCAATGGTCAGCGACCCCATTCCTGCATTCAAAGTTAATCCAGGGTTTTTTTCCTAAAAGTACGGTTTTTTGTTAAAATCTCTTAAGAGATTTTAACTGACGGAGCTCTCTCTGATATCGCATAGTCACTGTTGACCTACTTAAAACCGCGGGAAAAGCAGACAACAACAACACTATATAAGATTCATGAGATATATTCGTCTTTTTGTTAAAAATACATTAATATCCACAATGTGTGCCATTCTGGGCTTTTCGTTATCCGACGCACTGTACAAAAACTCGCAACTTACGTCTGCGTCTGCATTAATGCGTTTGGCGCCATATGTTATTTTGGTCTCGAATGAACGCGAGAATCCGCGTGACATCATTACGTCATTAGCAACGAATGCCTTGATGACCGGGAAGAAAAGCATCGAAAGCCCTGTTGACAAGCACAGATTTTAGTTTTACTACAATAACGGCCGTTTTAGTGGTAAAATACAATAGAATATAAAACAGTTCTGTTATAGATTGTAACGGATGTGACTGGCACTTGAAATATTGAGGAGGGCAGGGTTTCAGTATTAATTTAACAATGGAGCAGACATGTCAATTGTTTTCATATATGATGGTCTTGGCCTTCCTCAGAAAACTTCTTTACAAATTACAATTTCTTTACAATTTTTGATTAAAATGTTACGTAGTTTGATTATTTATAGATGTTTGAAGTGTGCAGATGCCCCTTGTCAGAAGAGCTGCCCAACACAACTGGACATCAAGTACTTTATCACCAGTATTGCCAACAAAGTAAGTTTACATAATACAACTGGACATTAAAACTTCATCACCAGTATTGCACCCAGCAAAGTCAGTTTTTATATACTCAGTAATTTAGCTGGACATCAAGTTCTTCACCTGTATTGCCAATAAGTAAGATTACACTACTCAACTGGACATAATTCATTATTTTAAGAGGGTATAAAAAATAAGGCCCCATTCAGAATGGATGATCCGAGTACTTACTGACCCACCAACTAAATATGGCCAACCACAGTTCAAAAGCGATGCCGCTGATTCCTGATGGTCTCCCGGACTCCACAATGGATTAAATCTCTGCTCCAAGGTATAATTGCTTGGCCTGCAGCAACGGCGTGTGTGGAGGCAGGGAGACTATCATGGAAGTAGCAGCATCACTTATGAACTGTGGTTGGCCATATTTAGTTGGCGGATCAGTAAGTACTCGGATCATCCATTCTGAATGGGGCCTTAATGTCATCAATCTATGTTCCAGAACTACTATGGAGCTGCCAAGGCCATCCTGTCAGACAACCCACTGGGTTTAAGTTGTGGCATGGTGTGTCCAACCAGTGACTTGTGTGTGGGTGGATGTAACCTGTATGCTTCTGAAGAGGGACCCATAAATATTGGGGGCTTGCAACAGTTTGCTGTGGAGGTTAGCACCACATTGTGAATACATTCTGTAAAGAAAATAGGATACTAACAGGAAAATGTTGGTACTGACACCTGAATGAAAGAAAATAAAAATGCATCCATGTTAATATATTACTTGTTAGGTGTTTAAGGACATGAAGATTCCCCAGATCAGAGACCCCAGCCTTCCAGCCTTGGAGCTGTTACCAAGCAGTTATCATGAGAAGATAGCTCTGATTGGCTGTGGCCCTGCAAGTATCAGCTGTGCTACATACTTAGCCAGGATGGGATACTCTGATATTACTATCTTTGAGAAACAGAAATATATCGGTGGATTAAGGTTGATGGATTTAAACATTTATATCGGGGGGAGGGGTGTCTTACTGGTTTTCTTTTTTTTCAATTACTATTGTCAATAAGGTAAAATAGATTTATGTCACTCCTGATATTTTGAATAGTATACAGTTTTATTTGATAGTGTACATTATCCATAACACTAGTACTTATCAAGGTCAAAAATATTCTGACTCGTTATTCTAGAACACCATAAGAAAAGTCTGTTTTTCTGTTTTTATTATCATTAAACAAACGTGATATAAAAATAACAGATTAACATTTCCATGATATAATAATGTTCTTCTATGTGGCAAACAAGTATAATATTCCTTATTTGTCCTACACTAGTACAGTAACCAAATTACATTTTTTCAGCTCATCTGAAATTCCACAATACAGACTACCATATGATGCTGTAAATTTTGAAATTCAGCTTATGAGGGATCTGAAAGTGAAGGTAATGAAGCAGATATGTTTACATCTATAATTATAGATTTTCAAAAACTATGAAACTGAGGGAGAAAGACGAGTCTTTAGATAATTTTTTCCACAAATTGGCTCATGCACTGTGCAAGGTCACATCATTTGGTCATCATTTTGTAGTAAAAATGTTGAAACTTGGTAGCAATGATCCCCTTTTCCTGTGGCTAAGCTAATTTCTCATAATTTGTAGTAATGTCACCTTTTCCATAGATTGTGTGTGACACCTCTTTGAGTGCTTCCAATGGACTTACAATTCAGTCCTTGAAAGAAGATGGATACAAAGCCATTTTCTTGGGAATGGGTAATTTTATCTACTCCAATTAATTTTGCTGCTTGAAATATTTGCAAAACATTTTATTTGCCATTAACCAGGAAATAGATTTATCTTATTCAAGTAGACACACTCATATTAAAAAAATCCTTTTAGATATCAGTTTAAGGGACATGAATTCAATCATAATGGAATACATCAGTTAAGCCCATAGATTGCACAAAAAGTGATTGCACTTGTTACCTTTCAATGCTTAGTTATGCTTTACATCTGTTCCAAAATTATTACATGATTTTCCTTGGTAAAAATAAAGTATTTTTTTAAGAGCCAAAAGATATTTTTATCCTGTGATTCATGATGTTTCATTCCTTATTCCTGTCTGTCTAGATCTCAGGACACATGTCAGACTCATTAAAACATGTTTTAGTCTCTGAAGAAACGTTTTGCATTTTTTGCATCATTACACAAGGGACAATGCAAAAGCCATGTATTCCATCATATCATTTTTCTTTCCTGAATGGTTTAGATTTTTTAAAGAGGGTATAAGATGCTACTTCTGTAAACTAAATTAAACTAAAAGCTGTATTTTTTGTGTTTCAGGTTTACCAAACCCAAAGAAAATCTCAATATTTGATGGTTTGACTGAAAATATGGGATTCTTTACATCCAAGGATTTTCTTCCAAGAGTTTCTGCAGCCAGCAAACCTGGTACATTGAAATAAAGTTTCATGTAAAACCTGGCTACTACTCTTTTAAAATTTGTCATCAAATTTACTATAAGATATCTATTGTACTTTGGAAGGTGAACAATTTTTTTTAATTGTTGAAAGACTATCATTGGTCATTGTATTTAAGGTATGTGTCATTGTAAGTCCTGGCTTCCAAGTCTCCATGGCAACGTGATAGTCCTCGGAGCTGGTGACACAGCATTTGACTGTGCCACCTCTGCCCTGCGATGTGGAGCAAGAAAAGTGTTTGTTATCTTCCGCAAGGGCTTTACCAACATCAGAGCTGTGCCAGAAGAGGTAGAATTTAAGGGCTCATTCCAGAATGAAACTATCAGTCTACAATTGAACAAGCTCCATGGGGACTCTCACTGACTGTAAACAGATTAAAAGATTAACAGGCCTCCAGATGCTAAATGGAATTCATAAAAGCTGATGGTTATATGAGTATGTTGGGAACAAGAGGAGGCATGTTAATATATTAAATTGATTGCATTCAATGAGTCCCACAGAGTTGCTTCGATCTATGTAGACCAATAGTTTCATTGGGAATCAGCCCTAGGAGTAACTGTTGAAGTTATTATCAGAATCTCAAGGTGCCAAAAATATTTTAGACTGAAAATCTGACCAATGATGCTTCAGACAGATGGTCCTTTCAACTAAAGATAATACTATATCAAGGCAAACCCACATTTTACAGGGTAAAAACTGTACTTCAGTATTGGAATTAAAGTGAACAATTGGAATATTGTGCCTTTTTACATTACATCTCTGGATTGTATGAAAAAAGGTAATAAGATGAAAAATTGCCTGATGAAATGTAAAACTGCCATTTTTTTCTTGTGCACCCAGATCTGTTTTACAGATGGACTTGGCCAAGGAAGAGAAGTGTGAGTTCCTCCCATTCCATGCCCCTGCTAAAGTGGCAGTGAAAAATGATAGAATCACAGGAATGGAGTTCTACCGCACAGAACAGGATGAAGATGGGAACTGGGTGGAGGATGAGGAACAGACAGTGAGGCTGAAGACAGACTTTGTCATCTCTGCATTTGGTTCAGGCCTCACTGATGACGATGGTGTGTGACCTGCAACAGGCTGCAGGGTTTACTTTTCTCATTTGAATTGCTATTTATCACAACTCATTCATGAGACATTCTTATGCAGAAAATTTAAAAAAATTAACAGAAAACAATTAAAATACTTTAAAGTTTACCAGGTCTGACTCTGTAGCTTAAACCATTCCATTTTATTTTTGACAACAGATAACATATGGTTGTGTTAGTTTACCAGAAGTATGCAAAGAGTTGGAGGTCACCTTCAATACCATTTCAACTGAACTGGCAATAATGTCACTGCTGTAGAACCTTGAAATGTGGTACCTGATCTTTCCAAAACTGTACATATCTTGGAACCATACTCATGAGTCTCTAGAATGTAATCATTGGTATATAATGTGTTTCTTTGAAAGAAAACTGTTGCTAAATTAAGTTATACACATATACACAAGTGTATTGGTATTTCAGTGATCAAAGCCATGTCACCCATTAAGTTCAACTGCTTTGGTCTCCCTGAAGTGGATCCAGAAAGCATGTCATGCTCTGAACCAGGGGTTTACTGTGGTGGAGATTTAGCAGGAGTGGCTCAGACCACTGTGGAGTCTGTTAACGATGGGAAACAAGCAGCATGGCACATACATAAGTACTTGCAGGTGAGTGGTTAATCAATATAAGTTTAATTTTTAAAATGGTAGCAGTATTTTGATTAAAACTGAAGGGTTTTTAATGTAAAATAAAGTTTAGGTTTTGGAATTTTCAGTGAGTACATATTATTATTTTTAAGCTATTTTTACACTGTTTCAGTCTCTTCAAAATATGTTGGTATCATCTGTGCCTGCACTACCCAAGTTCTACACTCCCATTGACTTGGTGGACGTCAGTGTGGAAATGTGTGGACTGAAATTTGTCAACCCATTTGGCCTGGCAAGTGCTCCAACTTCTACAAGTGCTCCCATGATACGCAGGGCCTTTGAGCAAGGATGGGCATTTGTTGTCACAAAGACTTATGCATTAGAAAAAGTTGGTTTCTTTTTTTGTTAGCATAATTATAGTGTCTTGATTTTTTGGTCAATCGAGCAGAAGTGATGCATTTGTTTTTGAAAAAAAGAGAAAAAAAGATAAAAATAAACAAAGCACAAAATATTTAAAATCTTCTCACATTGGTGAAATTTCAATTCGAAGTTTGGAACATCAAAAGTGATAATAACAGTGCTGCACCTATAGAAGTTAAAACATTATTGCACATACTGTTAAGTATATATGTAATTTGTTATCAACAAGTGGACCATAGATACAGTCCTCAGAGTGTACTGGTAGTCAACAAATTATTTCATGAACTGTGTTTCTATTTGTAGGACATGGTCACCAATGTGTCTCCAAGAATTGTCAGAGGAACTACCTTTGGTCATCTTTATGGTCCTGGGCAGGGGTCATTCTTAAATATAGAACTGACCAGTGAGAGAAATGCCACATACTGGTGTCAGAGTATTAAGGAATTAAAAAAGGACTTTCCAGATAGGGTAGTGTTTCAATTAATTCTAGATTAAGAACAATAGTGGTGTATATATACATGTATATTAAGTATTGCTTACTATAATAACCTTTTTGTAAGTTTTTAAAATCTAGATCACCATAATCATTATTACTGTTTCTCAAATAACAAGTTTCAAAAAGCAGCCAATCGATGATGGCCGTATGTTACAGTTGCCTTTCAATAGGTGATAAAATTTGCTGAAATTGCCATGTCTTTTGATCTAATATTCAGGGGCTGATTGAGGCTGTCTTCTGGGTCTTTCAGAAGATGTTCACATTTTCAAGTTTACATTGATGGGTATCTAATTTCTTCTGTTGGAAGACGGTCAAAAATGTAGGATGGATCAACAAAGATAATTTGGAAGACTGTCAGAAAATAGCTCTGGATCCGCCCCTGAATATTCAATCTGTTTTTATTATGTTTTTGTTCACTTTAATTTAACCACAATAGTTTTTTATAAGTAGATTATTATTGCTAGCTGTATATGTGGATACAGCAAAGAAGATTGGACTTTATTAGCTAAAATGACAGAGGTAAGTTTTATAATACATGTTGGCTTTATGTAGCACAGTGTGTATTGCTTTATAGCACTTATTTTGAGACATTTATGGGTTGGGTGATGTTGACAATATCATCCACATCAATTATAAAAAGTACGACTTTTATAGCATTTAAGTACAAATTAGATACCTCTTGAAAGTTGTCATGATATATTCCTGCTAATGAATATTGCAAATTGGATCCTTTATTGAATTGCAACAAGTTTGAAGTTGTATGCTTATGTGATATTATTATCAAATCATCGTCATCATCATCGCTGTCTACCATATTGCCTCGTCATCAGCATTGTCTATCATGCCTGTTCACGTTTGAGGCAGCAATAAAGCCTGCCCATGCATGTTTTTGGCCAGTTCAACTATGTTTGGACAGGATCTCTGCAATTATTTGGAGACAATTCAAAGAATGACTTATGGTCATATGACATGATGTACATGTAACTGTGTTCTTATTTCAGGATGCTGGTGCTGATGCTCTGGAGCTCAACCTGTCTTGTCCACATGCCTCTGATATGGGTGAAGGTGGGATGGGAGCTATATGTGGACAGGTAGGAAAAAAATCTTCATAATACAGATACTCAAAATTAAGGTCTCAGGTTGAGATATGGACTGTGCAAACCTTAGGTTCAATACTTTAAATGTATTGAATTTACCATGTTCAGTATATAATAAGAGTGACTTATATATCTTTTATTTTTAAAGGATCCAAAGCTTGTGCGTAACATCTGTAATTGGGTACGAGAAGCAGTGAAGATACCATTCTTTGCCAAGTTGTCACCCAATGTCACCAATGCTGTAGAAATAGCAAAGGCTGCCAAAGAAGGTAATTGCTGTGAGCAATTCATAAACTGTATGATATTGTATTGTGCTGCCATCGGTTTATAGTTTTTGCAATGTCCCTTGCATTTTGTAAATCTCTAAAGATTGTTGTCTTTTAATTATTTGCACATTTCTTCTAAATTAGGTAATGCTGATGGTGTCACTGCCACTAACACTGTATCTGGTCTGATGGGGATAAAGATGGATGCTGCTGGATGGCCTTGTGTGGGAAAGGAAAAGAGAACCACTTATGGAGGTGTATCTGGCAATGCCCTTCGCCCCATTGCTCTGCAAGTTGTGTCAACTATTGCCAATGCACTGCCAGGTTTTCCTATTCTTGCTGCTGGGGGGATTGATTCAGCAGAGGCGGGGATGCAGTTCTTGTATGCAGGAGCAACAGTCCTGCAGGTGAGTTTACCCATGCATGCTAATGGGTTAAGTGATTCTGCAAGATTAGCAGAGATGCTTCAGATGGTTGGCAATGGAAAGATCCCATTACTAAAACTGACTTTTTACAAACTGCCTTTATCCTGATGAATGTGCTGTCACAACATCAGGATTATGGAACAGGTATCTTAGGACATTTTAATCCATGAATATTGTTTTTTTTTCATGTGTGTTACTATCCAATAGTTATTTGTGTGTTACAACAGTGATTTACTGCAAACAGGCTTGAGATATTTATTGTTTATTGGCTTTAACTGATCTTTTTTTGTTGCCCTTAGGTTGGCAGTGCTGTTCATAATCAGGACTTCACATTAATTGATGATTATGTGACTGGACTGAAAGTCCTGCTGTATCTACAGAGCTTGGAGCTAAAGGACTGGGAAGGTCAAAGTCCACCAACCCCTGTCCACCAGTTGGGAAAACCCGTGTTGAAAGTGGTGGATATTGTTGGAAAGGTAACATATGCATGCACACATTCATGTGCTGACATGCAGAATCTTTTTTTTTCAACCTTGGCTATCCAGTGTTCAAAGGTTTGTGGTAATCCTAAGGAATAACACTAGAATAAGACTAGCTGTTGACATTCAATGAGATTTTTTCAAAATATATGACAATTTGAGTTTAAAGGTAACTAGTTATGCAGATTTAACTTAAAATGTGCCTCTATATACAAGTACAGATGTAAGATGGAAAACTGTACAGGCACGTGCAAATTAAATTGCATAGAAAGATCTAGTAAAGAAGAAAGGGTTTCTTAAACTAAACCATTCTGCTTCCATTTCAATTTTAGACCCTCCCTAACTTTGGTCTGTACAAGAAGCAGAAGATGTCACTATTTGTTGAGGAGAAGAGGAAAACCAATCTTTTGGATGAGGCATTTTTACCGCCACCTCTCAGACCAGCAAACTCACCTAAGAAAGCAATTCCCACTGTTCAAGTAAGGATTTACAGGATATACAAGAAAAATTATCTTTCTCATCAGAAAGTGATGAAATGACTTAATGGGAGAAATATGAAGCACATGAAGTATGTTTTATAACTTATATATCAAATAAAAGATATGTATTATCATATTGTATTTTTTTAATTTACAGGATATGATAGGCAAAGCTCTTCCCATGATTGGTGCTTTCAGTGATCTGGACAACAAGCAGCAGTCTGTGGCCAGTATAATACAGGTGAATAAAATATCATTTACCTTAACTGATTTCAGGTTAATTTCTTTATCCTCATTTACAATTAGTTATCTTCACTGAAATGAGTGGCCAACTTTTATTTTCTGACACATTATAATTTCTGTTCTAGGAGATGTGTATCAACTGTGGCAAGTGTTATATGACTTGCAATGACTCTGGTTATCAGGCCATTACCTTTGATCCAGAGACACATCTGCCTGAAGTGACAGAAGATTGCACAGGTTGGCCTACATATCTTCTGTTTTAATATGTATTAGGATTAAAATTTCAGTACAACTATTTTAATATAAAGTGATCCCTTAAAATACACCAAAAACACTATAAATATCAGAAAAATAATAAAAAAAGGAATAAAAAATAAAATGTAAAAAGGAATAATAATAATAAGTCATTTAGTACTTCTTACTTTGTAGCTTTAACTTTGTTGTCAAAAAAAGGATCATTTTATTTTTTGTAGGTTGTGGGTTATGTGAGTCAGTTTGTCCCATCATTGACTGTATCAAAATGGTGCCTCGTACCACCCCCTACATCCCAAAGAGAAAAATCCCACCAACTAGTACGCCTCCCATTACTTTGCACTGAGTAAGGAGTAAGGAAGCTTCTTCTATATGGAAGAGAAGAGGTTGCGGATATCTGGGTATTACAAAGACATATCAATAGGATCACACTGCCCCACAATCCACAGCTATATGTGCCATTAATTAAATCGAGCAGGACACATACCAGTTAGATGTTTCAGTGTTTTTGTCAATGCATATGCAACTTTTTTGAAGGGAAGAAAGAGTATTTCAGTGATGTATGATTTTTATTAGATGCTTGTATCAGATGTTTTTAAAAGTAATATAAATATTAAGGTGTGAGGTGCTGAAGACTTTTAGGAGTCAGCTACAATGGTATGAACAGACTATTCTGGTAAAATGATGTGACAGAAGTGTGCACATTTTTACAATGTTACAAATTTAATTATGAATTAAATTCTCAGACACAATGGTGAATTCCGAAATTTTCATGTGATAATTTTTATGAAAGGAAAATATTACAAAAGAATATTTTTGTATTATGGTATTTGTATATCCTTGTTTGTTTAATGTTGATAACAAATTACATATATACTTAACAGTATGTGCAATAATGTTTTACATTTATTTATCAGTGTAAAAAAATTACAAAGTTAAAAATACTATATATAAAGGCAAAAATATTCTCTCTAATACTAGACACTTACATATATCTGCTGTTTTGCAGAGACTCTGACATTTCGTCCTTTATCACAAGGACACCTTCAGGGCACTGTTACTACAGGTGACACTGCTGGTGGTATTGCAGTATTAGAGTTAATATTTTTGTCTCCGAATATCACAATTGGATGAATCAGAATAAACATACCATATAATTAAATTTTATAAACTTGTAGAAATATTGTTAAACATCGTATGAATAAATGGATAAAATGAGCTTTTAATGTCAACTTAAAACACTTATTACCACAACAATTTTAACTTGAATCAGAATGTATATTAAGTCAAGTAAAGGCCACAGTTACATGTTCAAGTAGGGTAGAGTACATAGATTATGCTAATTGATACTGTTTGTATAAAAGATAAATGCTGCTCAACCATCTTTGCTGATGCTGTGTTTTATATCTGTAAATTGTCTGTTTATCAAAATCATCATTGTAAGCTACAGAAAAAAAATAGATACTGGTCAATATAAACTTAAAAACCTGACCAGCTTCCGGAAGACCCAGAAGATGGTCTCAATCCACCCCTTCAATAAGATAACAGTTTTAGGACTATGAGAGTTCAAATTCACATGGTGAAAGTCCCAATATTTGATAAAATAATATTACATTATATTTAAAGACATAAAAACCAATACAAGTGCTTATGTGGAAATACAGAAAATGTGCAGAGCCTCAGGCGGATGGGAGTTAAAAGTCACAAATGCCAGTGTTTGAGAAAAAATTTAAAAGAAAAACATAAAACTAGAAAAGAACTCTGAGAACACAGACCTCTGCCAAGGCAGCAATTTTTGATTATTACTGATTGATTATTGATCCAGACCACCACCAAAAACTAATCATCTCCTCCTTGACCCACTTCTGACAGTTCCTGAAAATTTCATCAAAAATAGGTCCATAACTTTTTGAGTTATGTTGATGACAGACAAACAGGGGTGAAAACATAACCTCTTTGGCGGAGGTAAATATAATTCCAATGAAGCTGCCATTCAAACTTATAATTTGAACGAGAAAAATGAAAATTTCAGAACAAGAAAAATGAAAATTTCACAAAAAATGGATAAATTTAATAAAAATGAAAATCCAATAGAGCTGGTTTTCTAAAATGAGCTGTATGTCAATCCTAAGAATCATTCTTGTAAGTTTTCTTTCCATAACGTTAATGGTGGCAGTGCACAAAGAAGGTTTTTTGTTAATTTTGATGCAACATTACGTAATGATTAACTGTATAAATACCACCAATCTTTAAATATCTACTATTAAAAAATGGACATTAAGAACATTTGATTACCACTGGGCTTCGTGCCCAAGGGATCTGTAAGTCCCACATTGAAAATTCCAATATGTGAAAGATGAAAATTTTCACAAAGAAAATGCATAACTATAAGAAAATTACCTTATGAGACAGATTTTCAAACTGAAGCTGTATTTCAGTCCTATGTTTCTTTCCTGTATGTGTGAGAAGAATAAGTGACATGGTTTTCCTTTCACGATCACTATGGAGGCAGTTCCCAAAATAGGGTTTTGTTCAATTTTGATGCAATATTACACATTGCTTAACAGCATAATTACCATCAATTTTTTGATAATAAAATAAAAGTATCATGGATATTCAGTAAATGTGACTAGCACATATAGTTCAGAGTCACACCTTGAAAATCCCAAAATCTAAACAAGAGAAAACTGTATTGAAAAGAGTTTATTTCCATTTTCAATACTTTTTTAAACATAAAACAAAATAATCAACTTACTGTCATTTTTAAATTATCAGTTTAAAAAATGTTGTCAAAGGAAAAATATCAATAGAACAATTTTAAATGTCCAACTTGCTCCATTCTGAGATTCTTAACCTAGTAAAAGATGGAATCTGACGAACTGCAATGGTACGAGTTCCTTTCCATTTTTGATACTTTATTACACAATATACGATCACAGGTTTACCGTCATTTTTATATGATCAACTAACAATATTGTTAAGAAGCAGAAAATGTGAAAACAACACTTTAACATATCTAATCAGTTCTATAATGAGACTGTTAACATGCCTAAGAATTAAATCTGAAGAAAACCCACATAATACTAAAAAAGCATAACTTCATCAAAACTTAACTGATCAAGTTTATTTTCAAACTTGATCTCTATATACTAGTCAGACTGATCACTCCTGTGAGTTGCAAGAAAAAAGGCTGATCGGTTTTCCTTTAAATGCCTTATCATTGTTGCATATATGCTGAAAAAAAGTGAAAAACAAAACAGCATAATTTTTATAAAAAGGTCCGATCAAGCTGGTTTTCAAACTTGACCTGCGTATTATGAATATTCATCAGTTCTGTAAGTTTCAAGCCAACAGGTAAAATGGTTTTCCACTTATCATGTTACATGTATCAGTGTTGCATATATGCTGAAAAAAGTGAAAGAATCTAAAAAGAAGTATTTTCATTTTTTCCTTTATGTATCTATCGATAACGGGAGTATAGGGACGTGTAATATTTTGGGACTAAATTTTATCGGTACGCCCCCAAACCTCCGTGTACGTACTGTAGGTCATATGTTGCCCTGAACAAACAACCTTCTTCTGGGGTTGCCCCCTCCCTTTCCGACTACAGACCTGTTAGTTTGGGTAATTAATCAACATAAAAGATCACAGGAGCTGAGGGAGGTAACTCCTTGCCTCCCCCCCCCCCCCCACACACACACACACGGAAGTTTTTTTAAACCATGCCAGTTCTTAACAGTGAAAAGGGGGGCTATGGAGCCCTGCATGCCATCTTCTTTCAAGCAAATATAAGAAGTAGTTAAAATATTTAAGCAAATGTAAAAAGTAACTACATGTAAAACATTAAATCACACCAAGTATATTATCCTTTCGTTATCCTTTCTCCTTCGAAAATTAATGCTATCAAAAACTGGACAACTCCACATAAATATTTATAGCAAAAATGTATTATCACTTTATCTTTATTATCATCATCTGTGAAACAAGAAATAAAATTAAAGTTTCTTCAAAGTGCATTGTGGATCAGTGTATATTGTGAATAAGTGTTCCAGTGTAAGCGGACAAGGTCATTCAACGATGGCCTGGGGCAGGTTTATAAACTTCAGGTTGATATCATGTCAACAAGATGCAAGGACACTGTCAATAATAATTGGGGGAGAGGCATGCGTGGTTTCCCTCAAAAAACTATTAGAGCTGTACATTGATTCTTCCCTCCAAGGTAAATGCGCGTTCTTTTCTGTTTAAACATAAAAGTTTAGGTATGAAACTGCTGAATGCATTTCAAACGTAGGTGTATGTACAATGCAATAATGAAATTTGGGTCTCATTCTCATACGACACCCCCGCGTTCAAACTGACAGGATGCTGACGACAGCAGCGCCCCCAGCCGACAATCTAAGATTGGAAGTCTAAGAGCGGGCAATTGTGAAGCGGGGTGGACATACTGCGTTTCACTTCAGAGGAGTACAAAGGACGCGAAGTGAGAGCGATTTTCTTCGGACAACCGCCTTCAAATCTCATGTAATCCTACGCCAATGCATCACACCCGAGGATAGTTTCTTTACTAGCACAAAACATCGAATGTTTCGCCATTTCCCCATGGTGTGCTTCTGTGAATTCAACCATTCAATCCATGCGAACTCTTCGCTCTGGGAAATGTATATGTACAAATAACACTCAGCTCTTAGCCCGGACCTCGAATAACCGCCGCAGAAAAATTAATCGTAAATGGACTGAATTCCAAGCTACTGGAGATGGGTTAGTGCCAACATGTCATACTCTTTTCATTTCTTTCATATTCCTTTTACGCCTCTGTTTCTAGGTCGTTCTTGAAAGTTGAATGCCCTTTGAGGCTAGAACCAAAACCTATTTAGGTCACGCTTGTTTGGTTGTCGTGTTTCTCTTCTAAGGCTGATGTGCATTTTCTCTCAAGTGTGATTGAGTGTTTTTCCCTTTTGTGTATTGTTTTTATGTACAGACACATGTGTCTGTACACAGCCTTCACCTGCGTGTGTCGTCTCCGTTGTTGCTGTCGTTGCCGTGCACTTTCACCGATAGCACGATAAGTGGAAAACCTTTTTACCTTTTGGCTTGAAACTTACGGAACTGATGAATATTCATAATACGCAGGTCAAGTTCGAAAATCAGCATGATCGAGTCATTTTTATAAAAGTTATGCTGTTTTTTTCACTTTTTTTTCAGCATATATGCAACACCAATAACACGATATGTGGAAAACCATTTTTACATTTGGATTGAAACTTACAGAACTGATGAATATTCATAGTACACAGGTCAAGTTAGAAAATTGGCATGATCAGACCATTTATATAAAAGCTATTGTGTTTTTTTTTAAACTTTTTTCAGCATATATGCACCACCGATAACACATTTCAAGGAAAATCAATTGGCCAATTGTCTAGAAATTCACAGGAGTGATCAGCCTTACTGAAATATAGATTTAGTTCGAAAGTAAGCTTGATTGGTTAAGTTTTGTTGAAGTTATGCCTTGTTTTTGTATGTAAGTGTTTTTTCCTTAGATTTAATTCTTAGGCATGTTAACAGTCTCATTTTTTAGCTAATTGGATATCTAAAGGTGTTCTTTTGACATTTTCTGCATCTTAACAATATTGTTAGTTGATTATATAACAAGGCAGCAAAGCTGTCAAATGTACAGACAAAAAAACAGAAAATAAAGATGCAAAAAACAGATCATTTTGTCAATTTTGATGCAATAATAAATAATGCTGTCAATCAACACTGAATTTTAATCATGAACAACAGATAACATGGTCAATAACAGAAGCAAACAGGAGAGATATTTTCTGACAGTATTCCAGATTATCTTTGTTGATCCATCCTCCATTTTTGATGGTCTTCCAACAGAAAAAATAGATACCCGTCAATGTAAACATTAAAATCTGACCATCTTTCAGAAGGCCCAGAAGAAAGTCTCAATCCACCCCTGCAATACGATTACAGTTTCAGGACCACGAGAGTTCAAATTCACATAATGAAAATCACAATATTTGAAAAATGATGACAGTGCATAAAATAATATCATATAATGTTTAAACACATAAATACCAATACAACTGCTTCTGTGGAAATACAGAAATCGGCAGAGGTTCAAATGGATGGGAGTTAAAAGTCACATCTTGAAAATGCCAGTGTTTGAAAAAAATTAAAAAAACAACAAAAATATTCCAATAAAGCTG